ATAGCCGATGAAAGCTCTAATGGCCAGATAGTGAGCCGCGACTACGGCTCCGGGAGGCTATGGTTTATGATTCACTGGAAACCCGTATATAAGTACATCTAATGTGCGATTGTTTTTGTCATAATTTGTATCATTTTTTATGAATTGTATAAATAGTTTATATTTCTCTCCATTTACTAATAAAACCCAGTTTTTAACCCATCAAACACTCAATTCAATCAAATTACTATTAAACACAACCTCTAATACCAGCCTTTATTTACCTGAAGCCAGAAATGGCAATCAAAATTCAATTTAGGCCTCCCGTACCCCATAAATAATAGACAAAAATAGTATCATTTGTGACATACCTTTGAGTTCATCAGTCGGTGTCAAAAATAACGTGAAGAACGCCCTGTGGAAGGCCTTCCGGAACATTATTAGACTCAACGGCTGATCCGGGTATAGGACGGCCTGTATGACCACTCCTGAGCTACAGATGACAATTAGCGCCATTCGCATGAAGTCCACAAAGTCGACGGTAATCATGAGCTTCAGGCGGTACAGTAGTGGCCCCAGAGTGGGGCTAATCGGCAAATGGAAGGCGAATAAGCGGTAATAAAAGTAGAGTAACCCCACGGATAGCATCACTTTCATCGTGTAGTACGAGAATATTCGGCGATCGAATACCCGGCCGGCCGTATAGATCACCACAAACACTATGATAGCCACGATCTCCATGCACTTGAACACCATTGGCACAGAAGTGTACTTCCGGTACAATATGAATGTTCGTCGGATGTGCTCCAGCAGTATCAACGCTACGGGTGCCCAGAAAAGTGGGTTTTATATCAATAATGGACACACAGTTTCTAAACAGCATTATAAGACCTACCAGTCCACGCGCACACAGTGGAGTCCAAGTAGTAGTTCCCACACGATGGCCATACCAGGGCCAGACTGAACAACACTATATAAAATACAGGTTTAATACACTAATCACTGAAACGCCTGTCCAATGAATTCCCACCTAAATATATGATGTAAAACATGTTAAACGTCCAGAACTTAGTGATGGGCGCCGACCACATTTCGCACACCATTCTCTTAAGCGGCGGCTGTTTGCGTATCAATAGCTCCCGGTTCCGGATCACTGTCTGGTAGTGCCGGGCATTCGTCGCGAACTCATCGATATTTTTCGATATGATTTCCCNTTCTCTTAAGCGGCGGCTGTTTGCGTATCAATAGCTCCCGGTTCCGGATCACTGTCTGGTAGTGCCGGGCATTCGTCGCGAACTCATCGATATTTTTCGATATGATTTCCCCCGGCTTTCCCAACGCCTCCTCCAGCGCGTCGCCCATACCTCCAATTATATTAGCGCCAAAATTACCTCCCGTTCCCGCATTCTGGGCCTGACTCTCGGCGTTAATCAGATGCTGTTCCTCATCGGCGGCGTCCCTCTCATCCTCCAGTTCCTCATTCTTATCGTATTGACCCGTCTTTTGGTCCGTGTCTCGAAAGCGCACCCATATGTACATCGGGAACACGAGTAGCGCCGACAGCAGTATTTTAACGGACGGCGGTATTGAAAACAGACCCCAACTCATCTCCCGGAGCCGAATATTGCCCAGGAATGTGTTGGTCAGCCATTTCTGACAGCAAGGGTGCGCTAAGAACCCCCTGACGCGGGCGTTGGCCGCGATGTCCACCGCTGTATTGTAGTTCCAGTCGACGGATGTCTCGCTGAGCACGTCGTTCGCCCGGTGCTCGTCCTGATTGAACGCCAGGTCCAGTACACCAACGGCGTAGTCGGCAAACAGTTTGGAGGGATCCTTGAGTTCGGTCTTCAGGTTCTGTTCGCCGACATACCAACTCAGCCGCTCCATCATCATTGAGATGATCAGACCTGTGGACAGGGAGTTAGACATTAAAACATTGCTATCAATGATAGGAA